GGCTGCTCTGTGTCTGGGGTCCAGCCCAGGAATTTGGCTTTGTACCTTGACAGCCCCATATAGTACCACAGAGGACACTATAGATGGTGTATGGCCCCAAGGTGTACTGGGAGGCAGCAGCAATCCCGGCTTGGCCCCTATGCTGCCGCTCAGTGCTGATGTTTCTCTCTCCTCCTGTGGTAGCTAAAGGTGGCTGGGACGATCTGCAGGGAAGCGGCGGGATCCTGTGACCTCCCTGAATATTGCACGGGTGCCTCACCCTACTGCCCAGCCAACGTATACCTGCTGGATGGCTCATCCTGCGCCTACGGCGAGGCTTACTGCAACAACGGCATGTGCATGACCCACCACCAGCAGTGCGTCCAGCTCTGGGGACCAGGTGAGTCCCACCAGCCCCAGCCCTGCCTCCTTGCCACCCCTCTCCAGAGCAGGAGCCACGTTGGAACAGGCTACCTGGAGAGGTGGTGGAGTCCCCATCCCTAGAGGCATTCAAAAAACGGGTAGATGTAGCACTTTGGGACATGGTTTAGTAGGCATGGTGGTGTTGTGTTGATGGTTGGACTGATGATCTTAAAGGTCCTTTCCAACCTTAATGATTCCTAGTTTTACTTTCATTAAAATTAATCCAGCCACCAAGCAGGAAACATGAAATTAATTCTTACTCTCCCCTTAATTGGTTTAGTGGTGGAGTTGGTAGTGTGAGGTTAATGGTTGGACTGGATGATCTTAAAGGTCTTTTCCAACCTAAGCGATTCTATGATTCTGTGATTCTCTGTTGTGCCTTGGCGCTGTGTCTGCACGTGGGGTCTCCATGCCCCCTGCCCGTGGGGCTGGAGGGTGGTGGATGGAAGGGTTGTGCTGTCCCCATCCAGGGTTGGGATCTGCATCCATGGGGCTGGCATGGAGGGCTGGGGGTGCTGTGAACGCACACCCAGATGCCTGGTCCTCTGCTCTGCCCAGCCCGTCTACCCTCTGCCTATGGTCCCCACGTCGCATCCAGCCCATACGTTACATCCAGCCCCCATGCTGCGTATGATCCCCGTGCCGCACGTGATTCCGTGTGCTGCAAGTGACCTCCACACTGCAGTGCAGCCCGTACACTACATATGGCTTCAGCACTGCATATGGCTCATGCACTGCATATGGCTCATGCACTGTGTAGACTGTATATGGCCTCCTTGCTTCAGTTAGCCCATATCCTGCATATGGCCCTCACGCTGCCTACAGACCCTGTACTTCATATGGCCCGTAGGTGACGTGGCTCATAAGGTGTACATGGCCAGATGCTTCGTGTGGTTGTTACACACTTCATACATATATATATATATGTACACACACACACTTTATAGGGCCACAGGCTGCATACGGCCCCCACTCTGCATACGGCCCATAGCTCATATGCTCCATACGGCCATCTGCTGTGTGTGGCCCCCAGCTGCGTACGACCCCGTGCTGCGCAGGGCCCCCGCACTACATATGGCCACGCGCAGCCATGTGCTGCACCCTGCCCTGTGCGCGCTGCAGCCCCCATACCCACACTCCCAACACCCCGCTCGCACCCACGTACACCCCCCTACTGCTCCTGCCCCATAGGTCCTGCACATAGGTCCCCATTTGCGTAGCGGTGCTGCCACCCCCAGGGCCAGCACCCATGGGTGCCCCCAGGAGAGCTGCAGCAGGCACAGGGGGGAGTCCTCCCCCAGGGCCAAAATTCTCTGCTAGACCCCAGAGAAAAGGGGATTTCACCCCTCTTGTGCTGTTCTTGGCCTGGCACCTGCAGCAGCAGCTCTCTGGGAGACTTTTCCATGGTGTTTTCTCCATAAGCATCCAGCCACTGCTCCCGGTTTCGGTATTTCTCCCTGCTGGCTGCTTTCCCCATCCCACGCGGGACCTTTCCTCCCTCCCTACAGGTGCCTGGCCGGCCCCAGACGCCTGTTTCCAGGACGTGAACATGGCTGGCAACACCTACGGCAACTGCGGCAAAGACAGCCAAGGGCGCTACGTGAAATGCGACAAGAGGTGGGTGCACCGCTGGCACCCATGGGTGCTCCATCTCCTTCTCCTGCACCCGCAGCCCCCCGCTGCCCACCCCTGCGAAAGGGCTGGTGGGGCCCTACCTCCTGGCATCACCCCTTGGGCCAGCTCCAGTTTGGACCTGAGGAAGCCACCAGGTCCTTCCTGGGCTCAGTCCCCATAAGTGCTGGGAGGTTGTCCCACCATGTATCACCTCCCAGCCCAGCCTGAAGGGAAAATCAAAGACAGCATCAGCAGGAGATGCTATTTAGGGAGTGTGTGCTCTCCAGTATTCCCAGTTAGACCAGGGATGTTAGAAGAAGCCCCCCTGCCTGTTTCCTCCAGCATTTCTGTGCTGACCATGATTTATCTAAGGCCCTTTCTGAACCTGCTGAGCCTCTGCCATCACAACCTTCCATGGCCATAAATTCAGAGGGAGGTGAGCCAGCAGGCAGCAGGGCAGGGAGTACATCCCACATCTCCTGCCCTCACCTCAGCTGTGTTCTGCTCCTAGGGATGCTATGTGTGGCAAGATCCAGTGCCAGAGCTCAGCTAAGAAGCCCCAGGGGACCAACACTGTCTCCATTGACACCACCATCCGCTGGAATGGGCGGGAGGTGAAGTGCCGAGGCACCTACATGTACACCACAAAGGACGAGGAGGAAGACCTCTCCGACCCTGGGCTGGTGATGACAGGGACAAAGTGTGGAGATGGGATGGTGAGTACCTCTTCCTAGGGCTGGGGTCTGCTCCAGGAGATCAGCTCCTTAGCTCTTGTCCCAGGTCCAACGTAGACATTGGCTCTTCTCTGCGTTACAGCCGGGACATGGGATGTGGTTCCCCCCAAGCTTGCAGACGTTGCATTGATGACATCTCAACCAGGGCATTTCTAGATGAGACCAGATGCTTGTGTGTAGGCCATCAAATTGTTCTCTTTGGCCTCCATGCTTCTTTACTGATTTAATACATAGTGGAGCAACCCCAGCAAGAATGGCATGCCCCAGGACTTGATGGATGAGGCTTCCTCCTATGAATAAACTGTTTCCCAGGGGAAAGCTGTGTTAGGAATCAGGACAACAGATCCAAACAGATGCTGCTAACTGAGCATTAGTCTCTTTTACAACCCCTGCATCTCCAAGTACTTTACAGAGGATCGGTTCAGCTGAGAAAGGGCAGAAGCCTGGTAGACAGCACGGTAGCAGGGATGCACACCAGACAGAGCTGGCTGGGGAGATATGGCCTTTGCTATTTGGCATTTCAGTTGTGAAATTTTCATCCCAGTTTGGGATGGAAGGCCAAAACGTCGACATTTTCATGAGAAAGGATGGCCGGTTTTGAAATCCAGTGTTGTTTTTTTTGGCTGGTGACTGCGTTTTAGGGCCAGATGGGAAATGCCTTCTCCATGAGCTGCCAGGTGGGTTGTCAGGGGAGGGAGGTGGGAGTGGTGGTGGCTGGTCTCTGCTGAGCTGTCCTGGATGGGGGAATGGCAGAGGTTTCCTGGGCTGTGCTGAAAATGAGAGTGAAATGCATTGACCTGGAAAAATATGATTTAGCCAACCCGCATTTTCCAATGGACAGCATCCTTCCAGCGGACTCCCATCTATGAAGCCAGAAGATCACTGTCCCCCGTCTCTCGGGTCTTTCTCTAACCTCAGCTTCTTGGCTCTCTCTCAGGTTTGCAAAGATCGCCGGTGCCAGAATGCCTCCCTTTTTGAGCTGGAAAAGTGCGTTTCCCGGTGCAATGGCCATGGGGTGAGTTATTGCTTGAGACCTACAGCGGGCTCCTGAAATGAGATTCTTAAGCAAAACCAAGTGTCTCCCACAGGGATGAGCCTTGCAATGCAGTGGGCATCTGCTTTTCATAACTCTCACATGCATCAGCTATGGGTGAGGCTGAGATGAGACCTTTGCTTACCCATGTCCAAGGTAGAGGAATAAGGTCATTTGTGATGTAAGGACCATCTGCAAAATTTAGATCAGGGTCCAATTTGAACTGGAGAGCATTCAGAGCTCAGAGCAGGTGCTTGTTCCCCTGAGAGCAAAGTAAGAGTTAGAAACACAACTGGGACTGTAAAAAGGCACGGAATGTTTCAGCGAATAGAAAGAACCACTATTGTCCAAAGCTTAAAGGCTACAAAGATTTGACCTCTGCAGAATGCAGGGCTTTGTCAGATAAGGCAACAACAATGTTATGGTTTAATGGGAAGATCCCAAGGGGATCCAATAATGCAAAGCATTAAGGGCATTGGGCTTGTCTAGTCAAGCGGTGTGAAAACTGAGGGTGTAAGATACTTCAAGGTTTCTGCAAAGACCAAGGAAATGAAAGTGTCAGCAAGAAAATATCTCTGTACATTGCAGTCACACATTTGAGGGCAACACAGACATGATCCAAGCGATGTTCAAGGGGTGAATATTGGCAGGGGTTAAGCTCCTTCAGCCTTGACTCCTGCCATTGGCCATCTGGTCCCATCCCCACCATACGGACCGTTGTTTCCATACGTCCCTCGTGGTCTCCAACCCTCCTTCTCATCCTGCAGGTCTGCAACAGCAACAAGAACTGCCACTGTGATGCTGGCTGGGCTCCCCCATACTGCGAGAAGCCGGGCTTGGGTGGCAGTGTGGACAGTGGCCCTGTGCAGCGCGACAGTGAGTCACGACTTCTCGTCCAGTGCCTTGTGACACTGGTGGGGCTGGAGCGATGCCGTGAGAGGGGGAAATGGGGCCATAAAGCTGCTGACAGCTCACCCCCAAATGTGCTGGGTTGGGTCTGTTCAGGCAGACTCACAGCCTGTGCCTAGCTCTGGTTGCTTGATGGCCACCCATTTTTATCAGAGACCACCGGATGGTAGTGCTCCCTTTTTGGAGGTGCGATCAGCAATGATGTCTCTAGCCTGGGTGGCTGGGAATGAGCAAATGGGACTGATGTTGGGGCCCTCAGCACAAGAAGGACATGGACCTGTTGGAGCAGGTCCAGAGGAGGCCACGAAGATGGTCAGAGGGCTGGAGCCCCTCTCCTATGACACCAGGCTGAGGGAGTTGGGGTTGTTCAGCCTGGAGAAGAGAAGGCTGCAGGGAGACCTTATTGCGGCCTTCCAGTACTTAAAGGAGGCCGATAGGAAGGATGGATGCAATTTTTTTAGCAAGGCCTGTTGTGACAGGACAAGGAATAATGGATTTAAACTAAAGAAGAATAGGTTTAGACTGGACATAAGAAAGAAATTTTTTACAATGAGGGTGGTGAAGCACTGGCACAGGTTGCCCAGAGAGGCGGTGGAGGCCCCATCCCTGGGAACATCCCAGGCCAGGTTGGACGGGGCTCTGAGCACCCTGCTCTGGTTAAAGCTGTCCCTGTCACTGCAGGGGGGTTGGGCTGGGTGATCCCTAAAGGTCCCTTCCCACCCAAACCATTCTATGATTCTACGTTTCCATTGAGTGAAGCCGGAGGCTGCTGGCTCTCCCAGCCCCACACTCATCTTTGTGCTTTCCCTGCCAGATCATGAAGCCATCTTAATGACCCTTCTGCTCATCTTCCTGCTCTTCCTCCCGGCCCTGATGATGAGCATCTACTTTTGGTACCGGCGGGAGAACTCGCTCCTGAATAAATGGATAAAGGAGATGAGGAGGAGGAGCCAGGAGACATACAGGTGGGTGACGCGACCTAAATCCCTTCTCTCTTGAGGGCCCAGTGAAACTCTGAAATCTTGTTTTCTTGCCACTGGCAGCATCCACCCTGGTAGAAACGGTTGTGGGGGAGCTGGTGGTACACAGGATCTGTTTCAAATTGGTATGAGACCCGGTTTGAGATATGAAGAGCTCTCTCCAGGGAAAATCTGAGGCTCTCAGCTCTCCCTTGAGCACAGGACAGGAATGGTCCTCTGGACAGGAAAACCCCAGAGAGTGATGATGAAGGTGGCCTGGTACTGAGGAGCTTTCTTGCCATCTGCTCCTAGCAGGCTGCAAGAACTGGAAGGGCTCTAAAGGAGCACTGAATTTAGATATCCTCATTATTTCCCCTCTCGGTACAGGTACAGACACACACACACCTCAGAGCCCCTGCAATAATTTGAGAAAAAACCCCAGAACCAGACCACCTCCTTCATTACCATCATTATCTCAAGACAGACTTGTCATCCCTGCTCACCCAGCACTGCAAGACTGTCTGTTAACGATCTGTTAACGGAGATGGGATCTCGCTAATGTGCTGCATTTCGGGAAGCAGCTGTTGCAAAAACGGTTGCTTCGTTTTGCCATCTGTGACTTAAGTTTGTGATCCCTGGCAGGAACAAAACCATTGGTCGGAAGTCAACCAGTGGCCATCCCAAAGCTGCTTTCACCTTGCGGAACATTTCCACCTCCAGCCACACTAATAAAGTAAGTAATAACTCACCTTCCAGGTTTGCTTTCCGTCCCTGGGACTTGATACTTGTGGATGATCACATCTACCTCTAGCAACTGGGCAAGCAACTGGTGCTCTGTGTTGGTTTTACGTTGTGTCTACACTGTGAGTCCTTGGTCAGTAGTACACATCCCTCCTAAAGTGAGTCTGTTGAGCTCTCCCTGCTCAAAAAGATGGTGATTGCCAGGAGCCTCCACCGGGAAATTGCCCATCACCATGGCAAAGCTTAGCATCCTGCTGATGACTTTGTGCTGGGTCTCTGGGGAGGCAGATGCTTCTGCTGCTGGTTGTGTCAGCTCTGGTGACCTTGGGATGGGTAAGCCCAGGGCTGAATTTAGGAATAATTTAGGTTTTTTTGAGCACGGCCACAGTGGCTGAGAGCGGGGCAGAATGGATGATGTCTCCTGTCTGGTGGAAATCTGGTATGGATTCACCAGAGCTGGCCCTGCTCCAGATCTCCTGAGACCAGCACCTTTCTCATCCCTGTGTGCTCTCATATGGTTAGCGAGGAGCAAACATGTTCAGCCTTTGGGTGGGTGGTAAAAGTGGTGGTCCCAGAAAGTGGAACAAATACCCAGTGCTCTTCCTGCAACTCCCTAGCACCCAGACCTTGAGGGAACATCTGCTTTTCAGCACCCAGGAAAACGCACCTACGGATTTTCTCCATACTTCTGTTTCTCTCGTCCCTGCAGGCAACACGGGCTGCGTTCCTCCCCAAACCCAGCACTCACCAGCCCGGCTGTCAGCCTGTCAACGTCGTCCACCCTCTTCGCCCACCTCCCCACTCCATCCCTCCACGCCCGAGAGACCCCAAGCCTGCCAGGCCGCCTCCGCCAGTCAGCAAATCGCCCATGGTCTCCACCAAAACGGTTGTCTCCCAGGCTAAGCTACCACCTCCGAAGAAACCTCTTCCCTGCAGCCCTGTGAGGACTCCGCTGGTGAGCTTTGCTGGTTGGCTGTGCTTTCCTTCCAGACTCATAGAAATTCCCTGGTTTTTGGCTGCCTGTGGCTCTTTTGGCTTGGGCACTATTAAGGAGCTGTCACACCACCCTAAAAGATGAATCTGTTGCAATGGTGAAGAAATCTCATGAGATAACGAGAATATTTTAAGGTAGTTTGGGTGGTGTTGTTACATGCTTTGAAGCATCTCAGCTCTGCAGCGGGGAGAGAGGTTTGTAGGAGGTCATTGGATGCTCCTCTAAGGATGTTGTCTCTCCCCATACACTTTGTGACCCCAGGTCGTCCCAAAGCACCAGCCGCCCCGTCGACCGCTGCCTGGAAGTCCTCTTCTGGCCAAAGAGCTGCCTCCTACACATGGACAGACCCTGCTGGTCATGGTCCCTCCTACCAACTTGAAGGTGTCGGGTGCAAGTGCCATCAGCCACCCCACGAGGCCATTTAAGTAAGTTGAGAGAGGAGCTGAGCTGTCTCCCACCACTGCTGGGGTTCTGCAGGTGGAAACAGTGGGGTGTCTTGTGGGTCATGTCTGGGTGAGACATCCCAAATGTCATTATGGTGTGCTCTGGTCTTCCCCTCATGGTGTCATCACTGTGACCTGGGTTTCTCCTGCTCCTCCCCAATATGGCTGCTGTGTACAGGCTGGGCTGCTGAGCAGCAGGAGAAATGCTCTGTGCTCTGGGGTGCGTGGGTCTGTGCACACTGCTGGAGCTACAGAGGAGTTCAAAGCCCACCAGCTTTGGGGTAACTGGCCTGTACAGCATTGTGGATCTTTGGTATGGGGCATTCGGGGGCAGCAGCAAAAGGTTGGAAGGAAATCAGAAGATGTCCCAAATTCTGCTACCTGGGGAACAACTGCAACCAAAGTGTTTGTCCAGATGGGGATGCTATGTGCATAAACAAGCCTGTGCCTGTGCTCCTTCCTGCATGGTGCAGGAGAAAAGCCTGCCCACCTGAGCAAGGTGCCTGCAGGTGCCCGGGGTCTGCAGCCATGCCTCCACCTGGCAGGATCCCACAGGGTTTAGCCAAGGTGGGCCAACAGTGACCAAGGTTGGGACTTTGGGTCTCATAAGGTCCTGATGGGTTAAGGGACATGCCATCCTTTGGGGGTATATGTGGCCTCCCATCCCAGAGCATGGAGGGAGCTGTTGGTGTTCTGCTGGGGACAGTGGAGTGAAGGGATGGACATTGATGCTCTCTCTCATCTTTCTTCCCTGCAGACCGATGCCACCTCAAAGGTGAGTCACAGACACCATGCGGGACCATGGGGACTGCTTGTGGGGGGATGGCCTTTGGTTAAGCACTGGGCTTAACCCCCAGGAGACTGGGGATTAAACGTCCGCCTTCCCAGAGGCTCCTAGATGAGCAGGACATAGCCCCTCTGGGTACCCAGCAACAGCAGGGCTTGGGCACCCGTGTCCAAGGGAATGGAGGGCACGGGTTTTCCAGTTTGGAGCAGGCAGATTAAGTCCAAGTCCTTTACAATGTCCCTACTACTTTCAACTCTTGCTATGCTGCTAAATCCTCTGGATATGGGTCAGTGGAGCCTCAAGGGATCACGCTTGCATCCGCTCCTGCTAGCCAGGTTTGTGGGCTGTATCTAGCCACGGAGAGAAGGCACCATGCTGGGCTGAAGTTGGCCCTCATCCCCAGACAGTCTGCTTTGCTGATTACTGCTTTGTCCCTCTTACACTATTTTAGGTTCTTATGCATTTGTAGTTGCCACCACAAAGAGGCTGAATATGCCCCAAAATTTCTCAGTGTAACTCAATCCCTATAGCTCATCTTTTCTGGTAGATAAAACAGGCCTGTTCTCTGGTCCCAAAAGAGAAAGACTTGGCACATCCCAGGAGCCAAACTCAGCTCCCTTCCCCAAATGGTGTAGTTTTGTTCTTGCTGCCCACTGAAAGCAGTCCCTGGCCGTCCCCTCTTGAAACGGTGCCCATGTCAGCAAGTGTAGACTGGCAGGGCCAGACTTGTGCCAGGGAGCAGGACGTGCCCGTGTCCTGGTCTGTATTCATTACTTGACACCACCAACATGCTAGGAGAGGGCCAGGGAACCGTTGTCTTTCCTGGATGGATGAGATGAGAGATTTCATGAATTCCGAGGGTGGACTATAGGGTCCATATCAGGTTGGTTGATTTGGTGATGTCTCTTGGTAGCACACAAACCACCTTGGCTGTTCTTGGGAAGCCAAGAACAGTAACCCCTTGAGGGACATCACTCCCGCAGCTGGTGGGCTCCCAGTTCTCACTGCTGGTTACTGCCCAGTGTCACCACATGCTTTGGTGGACTCTGTGTCCTATCAGGATTTTGAGGGTATGCCAAAGGAAAACACCTGAAAGCGATACAATTTGGGGTTGTATCTTTGAGAGAGGATATGGGTGACCGTGACAGACCCAGGTCTCCTCCGGTCTCAGGGACAGCAGCTGAGCTGTAGAAGGGTGGTTGTGGTGGATGCTTGGTCTCCGCACTCAAACGAATTTTCTTTCTCTTTCTTCTCACTCTAGGCCAGTCCCAACCATCAAAGTCCAATCAACTTCCTTCCCCTTGAAGAAGTGACAAACCAAGGACACCTTAAGCCCATCCTTCCTGAGCTGGCTCTCCTGATTTGCACTGCTGCTGGCGACAGGGGTCTTTTATTCCTCTCTTGTTTTATTTGTCTTTTGATACCAGAGGACTATTTTTATAAGACAGAATATGTATTCAGCACAAAAACTGTAGTGGTGGGGGGAGGAGAGGGGAAATTGGTACCATGATGTAACTAAGGGTTGGGGTGGGTTGGTGGTGGGGATACCTTGATGGAGACTCCACCACAGCTCCTGGCATTGCTTCCTGGCCAATTTACCCCCCAGCTTTTGTTTCTTCTTGACATTGCACATGAGCTGGGATGGGGTGACTTGGGGTCAAGTGAACATCCAACACTGATGAAAGATGCTGACGACAGTGGCAGCAAGAGCCGTGTAATATCCTTCTAGCTACCTCCTCCTTCTCCTCCAGGCCTGGTGAGACCTCCCACCACCCACTGCCACCAGAGTTCAATGCTGGGCATTGTCTCCGGGGAGACATTTGCCATGAGAGAAAAGTGGTTTCCAGTTTGGACTGTGCCATACGGTGCTGGGACATTTCCATGAAGGATCCAAGTTCTCAGGCTCCTCCTGGCCTCCTGCCTGATTGCACAAGAAAAAAACCAGTGACAATCCTGGGGTCACACCTGGAAGGAGCAGCTGTCTGGGAAATGGTCTAATGTCTGAGGTGCTGGTGGCAGCTGGTTACCAGGGTGCTTTGAAGGGGCTCAGGAGCCCTCCATAAACACTGCATGTTCCCTGCTCATGGGGCAAGCCCAGCAGTGGCTCTGTGAGCTGCTAACACTCTGCTGTCTGAACGGGGAAGAAGCCACAAGCCGGGAACAAGAGCAGGAAGACCTGTGTCATTGGCTTGCCCAAAGGCCTTGGCCAAGCCATTGCATTTCTCTGTGCCTCAGTTCCCCCCGTCTGTAAAATGGGGGGTAATACCTACCTCACAGGGGTGTTGTGAGGTTTAACAAACTGATGTCTTGAAAGGGCTTTACAATCCTCAGATGAAAGGTGCTGTTGACCTGCACAGTATTATACCGTGCCACTTTCCTATGACTTGACATGCGGCTCTGTCAGGGTCTGAAATGAGAACAAAGGCTTTGTATGGTCCCCTGGCTCCTCTGGCTCTTTTCTTGCTCAGAAGTTCCCTGAGCCTTTAGACACCAAGGTCTCTGGGTCTCCTACCACACCACTGTAAACAGATCCCTGGAGACCATTCTGTTAGCCCTTAAACCTGGGTTCAGTCCGTCCAACTGTGTGTGACATGTCAACTACCCTGGCTGGGGTAGATCCCATCTGACCTAGGACAAATCTTTTTGAGATGGGTCCAACCAGTGCAAAGGTTGTTCATGATGTAGGCTCAGGGACAACCCTCAGGAAACTGTTCTGGTGTTTCATTATCCCCAGTGTTACAAAATGGGCTGCTAATTGCAGGTTGTTGTTAAGGCCCGCTTAACCTAAGCTGTCCTTACTCACCTACAATCAGGCTTTGTTTTCGATGTCTTTGGTCATGCACATGGGTCTTCCCTGCAGCATCTCTGGTACCTCCGTGTCTTTCTTGGTTGGTGGATGTCCAGGCAGGATCTAGGATCCAGCATCTCCCTCTTACTCTTGATAACAAGTTACAAAATCACAGTCATTTAGGTTGAAAGGGACCTCTTGAGATCATTCTCAGATGACCTTCAGAGGACGGGATAAATGAACTGGTCCCTAAACCTTCCCAAGGTCCCATTCTTTTTTGTGATCTCCCAAGGACTTCTGACATGGTCAGACTTGAGGAAGAGCCTACGGAGCTCCTGCTCCCTGCCTGTGAATGTCCTCTCTTCTACTGTCCAGTATAGGTGTTAGAAGAGGGTTAAACAGTTGGAGAGGGTTTGGAGAAGTCGCTGCAATGATGAAGTGGTTGGAAAAAACTTTTCTTAATGAGTTGGACCATTTAGCTTAATGACAAAGTGAGGGATGACAGCGCTGCAGACAAAAAAAACCCACTTTACTGTGAGACCAGCGATTGAGTGACCACATCAAGCTGATGCAATGTCCCTGGGCTTGGATTCTTGCCCGTTAATGTCAACTACCTGGCCATCACACTCACTCTCATCTCCCATTGCCGGTGGGAAGAGATGGGGAGTTCACCCTCTGCAGTTATCCAAACTTCACCAACAGTGCAGAACTAGGACATGCACATTCGGGGGCTAAATTCAAGCTATTCAGGCTAGAAAGGAATTGATAGAATCCCCCATTTCTGATGTCAAGGCTCCTGCAAAGATGTACTGGTCTAGGGCTCTGCTCAGCAGCACAGTAAGTCCTCAAAGATATTTTCACCCTTCTCAAAGACCCTTTCTCTGCCTGGGAGATGTCCTTGCATGCACCAGCGGATTTTTCTTGAGGCAGATTGGCTGTGCTGTGGTGCAGAATGACCCGTCACATCCCTTTTCCCCAGGCAGAGCAGCAATGCTGAGAACAGCCCTCCCAGTCCACATGCCCAGACCAACGCAGCTCCTCTGCCCTTGAGCTGCAAGCTGGCTCCTTGCTTGGAGTGGAGGTATGAGATCGTAATTTAAGTGTGATGCACGATGGTCTGTTTTCTGGCTTTGTCTAGCCTGAGATAGTCACAGGGAGTGCAGACGGATGACATCCATCCTGATGCATCCACAAATCTAAGATGCAGCTTCTGGTCCATGGGACAGGCAGAACTCGAGGCCTGGCTAGAGAAATTCACGAATCCACGGAGGGCTTTTGGGTGTCCAGCTGACACTAGGTGGCAGCAGATGACCATGAAATCCTCTGCTCAGCCTTGCCTCTGAATTGTTGCTGGAATTTCCAGGGACCAGATCCTCAAGTGCAGCTTTCCTCCTTGCTCTTTCTCCCCATCATCTCCGAATCCATTAAAAGCATGAAAGCTGCCGAGTGCCTCTGATGACTCGTTGAGCTTGCAGTCTGTCCAGGTGGAGCTTTCCCCTTTATAAAGGCGTCCGCTGCCAGTTTGGGTACCTTTGGAAAACGACAGCAGGAGACCAGAAAAACCACAGCCCTTCACCGTACTGTGTCTTCAGCATCAAAGGCACCTTCTTGGCTAATGGAACCTTGCTCAGACAGCATGTGCTTGGTGAAGGGGAAAGGAGAAAGCTCCTGTGGTGGTGGTCCCCCATCAGTCATTTCACTGAAACCTGGGGGCATGGAGATGTGCATTGTGGTCCCATCTGCTGCTTAAATGTCTTTCAGTCTCCCTAAGGCTTGGAGGGGTGGGTGTGGGATAGAGGATCAGACCACTTTTGCCTTCATCACCTTGGCGTTTCTGGGTTCTTGTCCCAGCTTTGCTGCCGTATAGGCCAACTCATATTTTACAGCTGTCCCTGTATGCACTTTGAGGTGGAGACCTGCACCAGAGTGAATACACTGAGTGCTGCAACCTGCTTTAGCCCATCTGCATTTTTTGACATTGGCCTGAATGTCTCTTGCGACAAACGTGTCCACAAAATGCTGCCTCTGCTGGGAGGCTGGGCCTCACCATTGCCCCTCCGGTCAGGTAAGGGAGAACCTGGGGCCATGTTTGTGGAGATGTGTGCTGAAAATCTCCAGTGAGTTCTTGAGCAAAAGCTGAGGCTGAGAGGCTCAGGCTAATGCTTTGCTGGTGGTTTGAGCAGTCCCTTTGCATGCACATTTGTCATTTATCCAGTGGTACTTGTGCTTACCATGTGGCAGAGTTTGTGAGATTGAAATGAGGAAGACAAAAACCTCCTGGCTAGCTCCAGAGAAAGCATCTATATCAAATTCAATGGCTTTAGATGGTACATGCTGGAGGGAGAAACCATTTTCTTAATTCCCAGCAACAAGATCCAGACATTTCAGAAGACAGGTGGAGCAAAGCCCAGCTCCTTTCAGATTTTAACCTGATCCCTGATGGAGCGTGGTGCCAGCTCTTTGCTTTGTCCTGGTATAATTGCCCTTATGTTCTTCAACCCTCCAGCAATGGAGAGCCCACACCACTCCAGGGAGACTCTTTCTGTGCCTTTCTTCCCATGGTACAAATGTTTTCTCCAGCTTTGGTCTGGTTTACCAGTCTCTGTCTTCCTCCTGCACTGAGATGCTCCACGTCCTGTGCAAATGAAATGGGGGAGAAGTTAAGCTGGGGTAACTTGGGTGGGTCATCTCCAGCAGTGCCTCTTTCTCTGCACAGCTGCTCTTCTCTTGCTGTGTCGCATCGCCGTTAGAATTCTTGCCAAGACTTCTGAGGTCCCTGCACACCAGGCACTTTGCAAACAGCAAACCTTAGAGCTTGTGATCCAGCCTACTATGAAATTAGTAGGGGCCTCTGGGCTTTCTGGATGCTTTCACTCTTACCAGGGCTGATTAGGGGGTGTAGGAGTGTGCGTGGGGGTCTTTTAACATCTCCTAGGCTTCCTTTTATCCCGGTGGCCTCCTTTGAATTAAACATCCAGGTGATATGACAGGCACAGCCTCAACCCGGAAGAATTAACTGATAAGGCTTTTTTTCGGCCCATTTGGGCCCATTCTGGTCCTGGAGGTGGCCAAGGAGCTGTGACATAGTAGGGAAACAGCTCGAGTGGCAGTGGAGGGGACGCTACAGCCATCTTCATCTCCACACCAGCAACTCCACCCTGACACTGAGCTATTGGTCACAGGCAGACCTGGCCAGGACACTGGGCCTGGGTTAGGTCCTGCATCTGAGGCAGGACTGATGTAGGTTGCTGAGAGGAGGACACCATGGCTCTATGGATGCCCAGCCCCAGGATAGCTGCCCCAGCATGTTAATGGGCTCGTTGGGACTGGCTGCTTTTCCCTATGGAGCAGAAGGAAGCTCAGCTGGCAAAGGGACTCAGGACTGTAGATTCTTGGCCATTTGGGTCACTGTTTCCCACCGCGCTTGTGATGAAGCTGGCAAGATCTCCTTGCCCTGGGGCAAGTCGTTGCCTCTGTCTCCGTGCCTTGGTTCCCCTCAGTTTGTGACATGGAGCCATCAGTCCT